ACATTGTTTTCGTCGCGGAACAGCTCAGCAAAGAGCGGCCGATTTCTAACAACTTATTTTTCTGTGAAAACTTCGTAGAACTTCGGAGACATCATTAATATAAATAATTTTAATCGCCGTTGAATAAGAAATGTTTCTTTCACAAGAAATGTATAAAATTACAGTACTGTATTAGACTTACGGTACCTAATTTACATACTGACAGACGATAGTTAGCGTAAAAATCTCCGTAGCGTGGCGCCACGCTAGACGGCGGATATAATTATATATACAGTACCTAATTTATATATAATTAATATATCATTATATGTACAGTACCTAATTTATATATAATTAATATATCATTATATGTACAGTACCTAATTTATATATATTTTATATATATTACTGTACAGACGATAGCAAACTCAATTTACCCGCCTGAATTCTCCATAGCTGGATCCAGCAGATAGAATTCATGGATTATTCTCCATCAATGACTCATTTGAGTCTATATGGAATAAATATAATTTATTAACCAAAGTTATTAAAGTTATCCCTCCTCCTAAAAATTAATTTTATGTATAGAGTATTTAAATCAAATTAAATAAAATAAAAATAAATTTTCCGTAGCGTGGTGCTGGACAGCGGAAAGTAGTTCGGCTGCCCGATGACGTTATACCGAATTATAGGAGTTTTTTTACCAGGTTTGTACGGATACCGACTCAATTTTTTCGCCGTCTTATAGGAATCGTAATTATAGGAACCCGTGTTATAGGGGATCTATTGTACTGTATTTTCGTAATTATAGTTTGGTTATTTTCAACTTCGTTTTAGTCGTCATATCGAATAACTCGACACATTTTTACTTTCCTTCGGGGTGTCGACTTATGAGGACTAGATTTTATATGTATGTATATATATGTGTGTGTGTGTGTGTGTGTGTATGTGTGTTAGGTTTCATTATCGATACTGTTTTCGCAACAAGTAGTCTTCTTTCTTTTACCACTCACAGGTACGTGATTCCAATCTTTAATTTTCAGCCAGTCTATATTTAACAAACACATTTAAATGACTTAAGGACATTCAACGAATTGGGTTCCACTCTGAAATACGGATATTTCTCTTGAGTGTCTAGCCTATTATTGGTAAAATAAATCTTTGTAGTTGCAAGACGTCTTCAGTTTTTTTAGGTAGCAGTCAGAAGTCACTGCCAGAACATCACAAATATAATAATCTCGGGCGATACTTTTATTGAAATGTTTTCTAAGTGTTGTAAAAACGAATATTATTTTAAAATTATTTAAATTGAAAAAATACTTTAATTTTTGTTAAAATAATCGTCCAAATTCAATGGATGTTAAAGAATGAACTTCCTCCAACTTAAACCGAAAAGGTTTCAATTGCGTTAGGGAATTTCCTTTCTTCTTAATCATGATATGATTCGAATCATCCCTGTCTATTGGACAGAAAAACCCCTTTAAATAGGGCCGAACAAAAGTCATCTTGAGCTGGAGACCCAAAATCGACCAACAAAAACGTTTTCATTCCGGAAACAAGAGAGTTTCCCGCCAACAATATAGGAAATCGCGGCTAGCTTTCTCCAGAAACTTACGAAGAATATATGTGAAGAACGGTTCAACTAAGGTATTATGTTTACTTGAGTTACTGTAAATGCCTTCTTTTTTTGATAGACGTTATGGCAATAGGGTAGCTAAGAGATAAGTTCAAAAGAAAAATTAGATACTTGTCGGATTCTAAGAATAGAATATAAGGACATGTAAATAATGTTTAGATTTCTTGCTGTTCTCTTTCTTAACAAATCCGTTTGTTTTAGTCTAAAAGAGAGAGTCTAGTTTTTATAGTCTAATTCCATCCTCGAGCACAAGTATAGAACATACCTGCTATAAATCCGGAAATTTACGATGAAGTAACTTAAATTTGCACCTTTGGGCGCGTTAAATTTGACGAAGTGGTGTCAAGAGTTCTTGACAAAATTTCAACAAAATCGGAATATTCATGTATTCCCGATTTTCCGACATTTCAACTGCCATCTAAAAACATGTCATGGGGTAGACAGGAGCACTAGAAACTTACATATATATTCATATTCTGGGTTCAAGAGAGCCTTTTTATCAAGCCCATTTTTTGTTTATAGGCCAATATCGTTGCGGTCGAGATGTAATGGTCAGGATCATATACTGTACATTGGAAATGCATCACATTTCAAGAATTGCTGGATTTACTCGAACTGTCCTGATTCGATATACAGACAGCTAAACTACTTGCCAGTCTATATATAATACTGTATACAGGATGTTCAGTCGTTCACTTAGACATGTATTCAGAAGCGAAAACAATGTTTTCTGCATTGCACGAGTTTACGAATTTGGCACATGGTCGATACAGCTCTAAAATAATATAAGGGCGCCGATTTAAGACGATTTAGCACAGCACACAAATAATCCGTAATTGTAACCGAAAAAGAAATTGATAAAAAGTGAGCTTTATTTTCTTAGAGAACACGTTTAAAAAGGTCTTCAAAAGCAATACGAAGAAGTAGCATTCCCAGTATTACAGTGTCCCAGGTTCCTTCTATGAATTACTTTAATTCTCCTGCATCAGGCGGCGCTACTGGGTACGCATACTTTTAGCTGACCCATTAGAAGAAATCGAAAACAGTCAAGATGATGAACTGTGTTGTCGTGTTGTGCAATCTCTTTTGTTAAATCTCTCTGTGAACTATCGACCTACGTCTGTCTGAGAATGAGATGTCGCACTATCGCTCTGACACTAAATTTGCGATAGTTCCGCTGGCAAT